TTGAGTGGGAAGGGGGGTTGCCAGCCATTACTCCTTGGCCCGCCCATATCTCGTCAGCCGCCCTCGTGAGAGCTGCTGGCTCCCGGCAGGTCTCTGCGCTCCCCTGGGGTTTCCCCGGCTCAGGAAACACCCCTGTATGTTGCAATCTGCCGCTCCGCTGCGGGATGTGCCTGCACCGGAGCTGATCACCTCTGTGACTCTCCAGAGCCCAGGAGAATTCCTGCTTGATTCATTCCCTTTGTGTTTATACTTCAACATAGTCCTGACTCCTGAGATGGTCATCTTCCACAGCTCTGAGAAACCAGAGAGCCAGATCTCACGTTGGAGGCAGGGTCTGCACCGAGGACGGTGCGGTGGGCAGCCGTGGGCCACTGACTTCAGTGCAGAGAGGGGAGAAGAAAGTGAACCAAGTCCTTCTCTCTTGATGGGAGAACCAGGCTCGAGGTCTCCCATCCGTTTGCTTCCCATGGCAGAAGTTAGACCAGGGGAGAGTGCTCCTACCCTCAGCAAAGCGCAGAGATTTCATTTGTGCCTTACCTGATACAAGAGAAGAGAGGAATTTCCTCGTGAGCTCATGTCCCACCTGTGCCTAGCTGAGCACCGCAAAGAACAGAAGGCCCTTTTAGCCATTGTAAGAGTTTGACGTTTTGTCCAAATTGGGCAGCAAAGCTCAAAAGATGAAGAGAGAACAGATTCCACCTTTGCAAGCAGAGGGGGATAGTGTATGTTCCTAATGCATGACAAGGGACCGCGAAATCTTCTGAGATGCCAAACCCCACTTCTGCGCTACATCCCATGGGGAGCCTTGTGCCTTCCCAACGCTTATCTTGACTGTGTTGAATACACATGTGTGGAGGGAAGAATTCAGCTGAGGCTTTGGAAGTATTAGCCCCGTATTTTTCCCTTCATGGCAGAAGAGGATTCAGAGATTTCTAACGATGCATGACAAACTGTGCCATCTGCTGTCCTTGATAGGCTCTGCTGGGTTTGGGAGGGAGAGAGAGAAGGGGGTTGTTCTTTAAAGCGAACTTTGATATCTTTCCTTCTTTCTAATGATACAAAAAAAAATGTAAAGTCTTGCATCAGCCACAGTGCAGGTTTTCTCATGCTTCATTATGCTTCATGCTCACCGTGCATGCAAAGAGGTGTAATATGTCACCCTCGGGCCAGAAGCAGACATCAAAAGGTCAAACGGCTCAAATGACATAAAAATGAAGTGTTTGGGAATGTAAATTCAATTCTTTTCTTTTTTTCTTTATCTCTTAATTTTTTGTACACAGTCCAGGCATTGAAGCCAAACCCCCTTCATCCATGTCACAGGACTGGCTACTTACCTCCTCATTTGGCAATAAAGTTTGCTCTAGGCATAGTTTGACCAGTATCTGCTGTCTAAAAATTACAGCTGAGGTTGTACCTATTCTATGTTAAATTAGCTGATCAAGGGAATTTAATCCAAATTGTGTGTACAGCATGGAGCAAACACCTTCAGCCAAACCACAGCCATGGACATCCCCTAGCCTCCAGCCGTCTTTGCTGAGAGCTACTTGCAGAAAACTTTTGGCTGAACTGAGCCCTTGTCACTAGAGCACCACAATGCCATCCACAGGGTTCAGACAGCTCATGGGACATCACTTGATTTCATTCCTCTTCCTTCACTGGGTGTTTTCTTATGATCTGGGCAGCACTTGGCTAAAACAGGGGTGTGCAGGCTAAAAAGGAGAGGCTGGTGCCACCCATGGGGACCCCACGGCATGTGTCCCCACGGGCTGGACCCACGTGGTGCTGAGACGATGAAGGTCGTGGCAGCAGCAGAGCCTGACCCAGAGGTTTTGGATTTGGGCTTGGGGCTGCTCAGAGTTCTGGTTCCCATCCACCAGGCACCTCGAGCACCTCGCAAGTCCCACTGGTGTATGTGGGAGGATGCAGCTGCCGAAAATTAAGCACAGCATAAGCCTTTTAATGGGTGGGAGCAGAGATTTCAGCAGCCTTCTATACTCTGCTGCTTTCTGGAGCCTCTCAGCCACAGGTCAATAAAGAAGAAAGGAGAAAATTCAATTCATTAAAAAAGGGAGCAATTATTAAAAAAAGTCTTAATGTCCCAGAAGCCTAGTGGGCATGTGCGAACAGATTTTAATCTGGCCATCAGTATTAGAAACTGTAAAAAGAGGGGGGAAAAATCATTAACATTAAGCTGATATAGCAACAGACTGGGAGGGAATAAAAGAAATATCCCAGTTTGAGGCCTCCCCTTGTACCCATCGATCACCTCTTCTGTGTACAAGGCACAAGCTTTCACGTGAAAACCTTGCCTCTAGTGAAGGCTTGTTGCACACCTAATCTTGTAGGTTAAATACAACAAAATCCATTTGAATATATATTTTTATTTTAAAATCAAAATGTTGCTGCAGATAAGAAAGTTATTTCATTTTTGAAGACTAGTTTTGGGCCTCATCATTTGGCGGGGAGGAGAAATGGGAAAAAAGCTTTTCTGAGAGCGTCTTTTTTCCAAGCATAAAGCTTGGGGCTTCTGGAAAATTCTCTTATTTTTTTTAATCTTTGAGCTAGCTGAGTGGGAAAAGGTAAGCTTTCGATATTCCTTTTACTCACATTCCTCTAGTGAAGATTACTCAGAGCAGCATAAATAAAAATCAAGAGATTTGTCACATATTAGTTCTTAGGGAGGGCAAATATATTTAGGAAAAAAATATTTGAAGCTAAGCTTGCTGCATTTAAAAATCACCTGCTATTTGTGCATGGAAAATGACTTTCTGGCAAATATTTATACCTGCCTTGGGCTCCAGCAGTCTCAATACAAGGTGAAAACAGAGCTCAGCTCACGGCCCTGCTGACCAGACCTCAGAATGCCCTCAAACGGGAACTTCAGTGAGAGTATGTTCTTTGTGGCATCAGCTTCAGGTACGGTTTTACCTAAGGAGAGAACTTAATGTGGGCAATGAGAAAAATCTCGCTGCATGACTGAGGGCTGGGTTTGACTCCTGCTCTTCTTTCTGCTTACAAAATCAGGATTTATTTTTTTTTAATGAGTCCCATGGTTGTAATATTTTACCACCTTTTTTTCCTCCGTGGTTGGCAGAGTTGCATCAGCAAGAAAAAAAGAACACTGTGTTCATCGGGTATGAAACACTTCATTCTTACTTTGCCCACTGAAGTAAACTCATTTCATAATGCAAAGAGCTGCAGAGGCTCCTTCGCTTGTGTGTGGAGTGTTTCATCTTTTAGAAAGTAGATCATTTATATTGGATTTGTGGGTAAATATTCCACCTTTTACATCTGAATATAGCCTGATAAAATATGAGATTTAAAAGAGGTATAATTTTGCTTTCTAACACCTGGAAGAAGACTGAAAATAGAAAATACGCTAGCTGAAGAAACTGATGGTTATTGATGACTGTATGAATGTCCCTTTTTTTTTTCCTTTGGCTTGCCTAGTGTGAAAGCTCATTACTGAAAGTAAATCAGAGGATACCCAAAGTAGCAAGCCCTTCTGAGTCATGATTTAGCAAGCTGCACTGCTAAATGATAAATGCCGTCATATAACTGGCATGAAAGGGGTTTGACATTAAGCAAATGAAAAATCCAGAGAAAGCGGCATTTTGGTGAATCCTAACCTAGGCGAGTATTGGGGAGATTCTTTGGAAGAATACATGGTTCCTTTGGTTGGATACTTCTTATGCCGGGGAGTTGAAGGGGGTGGGGGACCGACAATCATATCTATCCTGGCAAAGTAAATAAGAAGAAAGACACCAGCAAAATGCATAATGAAGCAACATGTAGAGAAAAGTTGGTCAGAAAAGTTGCAGAAAGAAACAACTGAAAAACAGAACGACAGAGAGAGAAAGAGAGAGAATCTGAAAATATATTCCGCTGGAAACAGAAGGCTCTCTCCTACCGCCTGGTTGTCGGTGAAAGCCAGACTCTTACTCACTCCAGGGTAAGATTTGGAGATTTAGGCACCACTGAAACATCATTAGGAGATCCCCCCGCCCCAGATATAATAGGCAACATGCTTTACCCTCTGGAATATATTTGCATATGTCTAGCAATATCCCATTGAGGTGGTTGGATATGAAAAAACATATATTCATTCTTTCAGTTCCAGTGCTAGATAACACGTCCTCAGTTAGTTCAGAAAAGCATGAGCTGTTGGAGTCGGTGAGATACGCTGCAGGATTGTATAACTCAATGAACGGGAGACATCCATGGTTGGCAAGGTGTCAGGATGAGACATGAGACAGTGTGAACACAACACTGAAAAGAGCACATTACAGACACAGTGGCAGAGGCATTAATGATTAAAGAGGAAAGTGCATGTAAACACCCCAGAAATTTGCTTGAACGCAGCTTTAATCCACCAAAGCCCTGGCTACGAGGGGTCACAGCCAGCCCTGCTGAGCTGAGCTGGCACGGAGAACACAGTGCTTCGAATGCTGAAGGGAAGGGAAATAAAAATGTCTGTTCTCCTCTGAGCTGTCCTGTGACAACCTCCCTGGGCTGCACTGTATGCGTGCACTGTACCTCTAGCGCCTGTTGGTCATGCCCCAACATTGGCCATGGCCACCCCAGGCACACACCTTGTCTACAGGGTGCCCCTTCTAGTTGTACTGGGCAGGTGACCAGCCATGGGACCTCTCTGTGCCCATCTGGCTATAATGATGAGTGCTTCAAAGGATGACCCCAAGGGGGTCTGCTCCCGTCACCATCACTGATCTCCTGCTTGGTGGGGACAGGAAAACAGTGGTGCTGCCTGGTAGGCCTGGATCCCAAATCCAGGTACTTCACACTTTTAAAGCAGTTCCCGGTCCTCCCGATGTCCCTGCAATGGGGTAGATGGCAGCCCTAGTCTAGTCCAGCCTCAGCCTTACAGTCCCACGGGTACAGCTAAGAGGAGAATTCAGTTTAGTCTTTGAAAGCTGCAATTCCTTACCCCAACCATCCCAAAAAACAGCCAACCAAACCACGCTGTCTTTGCAGCACATCACCTTGAAGGATTGGCAATGGGAGACTTGCATGGATGGTGAGGCAATCTGCCGCACCAGCTCGTGGTGCTGAAAACTCAGGTGTGTCACCTGGAACCAGTGGAGATGACAACCCCAATGGTTCGCTACCCACTGTGGAGACAGCCTGGGGGCCTCATGTTTCGGGTTATTAAAGTTAGGAAATATAAATCTCCTCCTCCTCCTCTTCCCTCTCCAGATTCAGCTACACATCTTGGATCTGTAATCACTGAATTCGTACTGAATGGGGGTGAGAGGCTCAAAGAGAGGAAATTCTCCAGGATATTTTAGTCTCCAACGCAAGGGAGAATATACCTTCTGGCTGCATATCTGGGAATGGGAAACATTGCGTGCAGCAACACTGAGAAAGTTACCTCCGCTGCTTGAACATCAAAAATAGCAGAGTTAAAATGGTCTCTGAGAGATTAACAGGAGAAGAGAGATTCCTCTTTTACCTAAGACAATTTTCCTATTCCATTCCTGGGGTTCATATGAGTTGTTTGCATACCCAAACACTTTTTTTGCACGTTTGTTGACTCTGCTGGGGATCTAGGTGGGTTTGAAATTAAAGGAAGACTTCCCCAATGGCTTCCAGAGGAAGCTGTGCTGCCATAGCTATGGAGGGAAATACTTTTCATTCTCCAAGTGTAAAAATAAATGGTATATTATTTTGACTGGAGATAGCCTATGGCCAAGCCCTGGCTCTGTTCCGGGTGTCCTTTGAGCTCAGCAGAACTGGAGCTACTTCTGCTGAGCCAACACAGCTGGGGGGGTGTTGGGGTTTGGGGTCTGGTTTTCAACATGGGACATCAGGGCTTAGGGAGCAGTGGTCAGAAAAAAAGATTTAGCTCAGATCCTCTCTTGAGGGGACCAAATTCATCTGCATTTTTTTTCAGGAGAAATAATTGGGTGATCGTAGCAGAAAATGAAATTTTAAATGCCCTTCTTGGTTCCATTTGTCCCTTTTTCACATTTCTTCCCCTGTCAAAACTATCTCATCTCCCCCTAAAATTTAGGCACGGAGGCTGAAATGCAGCTCGGCTAAACCACACCTACGTCGGTGGGTTTGGATGAGAAATCCCCATCTGCACATATTTTTGGCAGACTGTGCCATCCGAGGAGGGATTCCTCCTAAAACAGCTTAGTGGTCCCAACAGCTGGAGAAGCCGCTGCTTCCTCGCTGCCCCCTCTGCCCGTAGCAGCAGGGTCACAACCAGCACACCGGATTTTATTTTGTGTCACTCCCAGGAAGGTGCCAAATTAGCCACATATTAGCCTTAAGGCTGGGGCACCAAACCTTTGCTATGCTGCCAGGAGCACCGCAGAGATACGCACCTGCCTTACCTGTGGAATATACTATAATGACAGAAACTCCCAAAATAAGTAGGCGGATGAGCCGTGATTTTTGTGTGTGTGGCCTGGGGTGGGCGCTAAGGCAGTTTTAGTGGCATAACACCACCGTCTGCAGTCCCTGTCCTGCTCATCCCTGTGGGTTCCAGCCACAAGCATTGGTGTTTTCCTTGAGGCTTTCTCTTAGGAAGAAAAAGAATAAGTTGTAGCTGCAAAGGAAAGTGCCTCTCTCCTGGCAACACCTCCACAATGAACAAAAAAACAGTGAAAAAATGAAGCAAAGAGAGGGGTCTCTTGCCTGGCCTGAAGGTTTTTAATCCGGGAGAGCATGTCCAGGTGACCAGCTGAATACTGCTCGATGACATCCATCACGTCGTAGGGCCGAAGGCTCTCCTTAAACTTGCGCTTGGAGACGAGAAATCTCATAATGCTGCAGGAGTTGGAGAGGAAAGGCAAAATATAGTCCCTGGGCTGCAGAATGACCTGCTTAGTGGCAGATAAAAAACACTGCAGGGAGCTGCTTTGGAAGGAAAATGGAATAAATCCCAACCCTGTGGGTTTGGGAGAGGATGCAGCAGTAGGAGCGGGGAAGGGGATGCGGGGGCTCGTGGCTGAAGCCCTGTCTGCAACGGGGGGGTCCCCGATGCCCCTTGGACTATCAGCTGTGCGAGTGTCTTCTCTGCACCGCTTTTATAAATGTCAGCATTAAATCTCAAAGCTGGTGAGAACAATCATTTGGATGCATCCCTGCAGGGGACTTTCCTGTCTCTCCATTTATTCCTTCCATCAGCAAAAATTGCTCTTTCTGACAGAATTTTCTGTAAAGGAGGGCAGGCCACCCAGGGGAAAACCATCCTGCAGCACAGACGTTTCAGCATTTGACCCCTCTGCTTGGACTTTCAATTTCTTTTTTTTCCCTATTGTTTATTTTTGCGGACCGCTTCCCCCCCTCTCCCTCTCTTACCACACTGCCCTGATGCTGACTTTCAGTCCTGGTGTCAAATCTTCCGTCACAAACTCGCAGTTGCAGCTTTTGTTCTCATCAGGAATGTCTTCTCCGGGGAGGCTTGCTTCTGGGTTTGGGAGAGGGAGGAATAAAGACAACGCGTTACTATTTCCCGTGCTGGTGCCACGAGAGAAAAGGCAAGTCGGATCACAAACAGCAATCCCAGGGGGAAGCACCAGAGGTATCTTTGCTGAGCATCCCGATGGGAGCATTTCCCAAGACGTGTTATGGTGACATCCAGCAATGCCAACTGCAGCTCTCATCCCTCTCTAGATGCCTGACTCTTCCTCCTTTCCCTATCACTACATACATAAATATATACATTATCGTGGGTGTCAGCAGAGGTTTTCTTACCTCTTATTATACTCCAAGCTAAAGGACTGGAAGGGGAAGGAGACCTATTTAAGCACCCTGGCTTGCAGCTCTGCCCTTCTTAGGTGGGGAGGGAGAGGATGTTGGGGCTGGACGGGGCTTTGGGGTCCCACGTGGTGCCCCAAGCCCTCACCTTCTGAGTTTTGCCGCGACGCCGCTCCCTTGATGCGGAAAGCTTGCCGGGCTCGGCTGCGGTCTCCGAAGCTCCAGCTCTTGGGGACTTTGCTTGGGCTGTCCTCGATGCTCTGGTCAGCGCTGGGGGACCTCCGGATGCCCTGAGCCTGTGGAGAGCCTTTCCCTTTGGTGCCAGCACCGCGGGGACTGGAGAAGACACGATCTTTCAAACTGACCTTCTGACTGTTCAGAGAAACACGTTGAAACAAAGACAAAAAGGAGACAGCAGGAGGAGTCATTCTGGAAACCACGCAGTCCTTCCCCACCAGCCATTAGAAACCAAGAGCACTTCCAAGCAGCAGTGAGATGTAGTTTTGCTGTTGGCTTTTTTAAAAAATATATATATTTATTTTCTTTCTTTTTTTTTAAAAAAAAAAAAGCATTGTAGAAATGTTTCCGCCACAATGAGTGAAATGGGAATGATTATTAAGAGAGAGAAAATAATGAGGACTTAAACAGAAGCCCCTCGTGGGATGCCAGGGCTGGCGGGACAGATGATGTTAAACAATGAGGTTATGATTCCTTAAATCAGTGATCGGCTCCGTTCACGAGCAAGGAAGCTTTTCTTTCACAACTGCCTTCCAAAACCCTGTATCTAATAAGAAAATACCAATTAAAAAAAGCCTTTAGCTTAAACTTTTGACTTTCTTGGAAACACTTCACTTCTGGTGCTTAGACCTTTCCTTTCCCTTTCTTCAGCTCCTGTATTTCCTCCCTCTTAAAACATGAGCTGCCCCTTTCATATATTCCAAAGAATTCCTCTTTTTCCAGTCATATATTTAAATACTTAAATATGAACACTTAAATGTGCAACTCCTTTGTATGCTATAAAGATTCAATCTAAAAGGTAGCTAACATCTATCTGCAGGCCTGCTACGGGTGTCATAAACATGCAAAGCAAAATTTTACAACTTCAGAATACGGCATTTTATTGCTGTTTTTCTATTGGAATCCCATTTCTTTAAAACCCTGTAATTATGGTTTGAAAAGATCCCTCCAGAAACAGAGATGATCTCACTGAGAAATAGTCTGCTGACCCAGCTCTAATTATTTTCCAAATTCTGAAATTTGTAATTAAAAACCTTCACCCAAAGGAAGATGATGAATTTTCACATGAAAATTGCAAAACAAAAAGATTTTGTGAATCTTTATGAAAGGGCAAACTTTATAGAGACAGCATTGGGGAAACCAAACTGCAAATAGTTTTGGATAATTTGATATTTTCTGAATAGTAATCGATTATTAAAATACACTAATAGAGGTTAGACAACCAGTGCCAAGGCACTTGCACAAGTAGTTAATATTTTATATATAGGCAAATCAAAACTGAGTAAACCCATGGATGTAATTCCCAACACTCTGTACCACTGCAGCAGCCATTTATCGTTTTGCTGCAAATGCTCTGACTCGACTTGCGGGAAGAACGTTGCAAGAATTTTGATTTCCACCTCAGATTTCCAGGTCACCAACCAAAGACCTGGTTTTTTTCTGTCTCTCAGCAACGCCACCGTAAAGCTCAGAGCCAAACAATCCTCCTTTGCCTTCAAAACTGGCACGAGGTTCTTCAATCAGAACTTAGCTGCTGGTATTTGAAGCAAAGAAAAATGCAGCTCCCTTTTCCCCAGCCGTATCAGCTGCACTGTGCTGACGGGAACTGACATTCGGTTTTGTCAGTAAAGGAAGAAGACGTGACTCGAAGACACACAGGGAGCAGATTTGTTGAGTAAGAAGGTGCTATTTTTACAAAGTCACTTTACATTGCGAGACGCTGAACATTTACAGGGAGAGAAAGGTGCTTAGGCAGCATTTTCCAGAGTTGCACAGCGTGATCCCGAGGAGGCACTGCTGCCCTGATGCAACGCCCAGGGAACGGGGAGAGCAGCTCCTGGGCTGCAGAGCAGGGTTATCTGTGGCCATTGGCTGGGCAACAATTTTGAGTTGAAAGATACATTTGAGAGAAAATAAAATTTGTTCGTGACCAAGTTAGAAAAGGCAGAATTAATCCAATTAATGATGCATTTTTAATTCAGTGAAACTGCGTGGGTAAGCACTGGAGATTTCATTTCCAGCGTGCTGCCCACCTGCAGAGCCTGTCTGAAAGCCATGGGACCAACAGATGTTTAGCGTAACTGAAAATCAGATCAGAGGTACAAATCCACACAGGAATCTAGGAACGAGCATGTGCCTAAATACCTTCTGGATGCAAGCCTTAGTCACTAATGCTACCGAAATCATCGTACATAATGAGCCAAATGTTTAAAAGCAATTCTCATTCTGTGTTTCTTGGATTAGAAACCAGATTGGAATTTTATTTGTCATTTGATCCTAAGTAGGCCAATTGGATTTTTTTTTTTCTTTATTTTAGTTGATTTTACAGAAGCATCTTCCTGTAATCTACTGCATTTCAGTAGTACTAATACTTTGAACTACCTGGTCTTTTTTAAAAATAAGTTTCACATAAATGAATCAGCAACACACTAATATTCAGAATTCAAAGCAATCTCTTTGTGCCTCATCCTCTGCAGAGTTGCTCCCATCACCAATCTTGGTGTGAAACCAGCTGCCCATCACTGAGTAAAGCAGGGCCTTTTCTTTGGGGCCCCTTTTCCATTCCCACAATAAATGTGCTGCAAATGTCTGCAAGAATCACAAAAGGCAAAAAAGAAAGCCTTGAACTCGGTGAGGAATACGAGCAAAGAGTTTCAAGCCTGAAAGCATGAGGTGCAACACTTTTACACATTAAAAAATCTCATAGAAATTTGATGAACGATAAAGATCTGGGTGGGGTTTGCTCCTGAGTACTCACTACTCAGAAAAAAAACCCAACACCTGATGTAACTTCTTTGTTTTAACACAGATTACATGAGACAACATGAACAATTAATTGAATTTTTCCTTCTGCCATGCAATTCTCTCATTGGAGATGACACCTGGAATCGCATGCAAATACAATCCCTGCAAAGGAGGAGCTGGTAGGAAAGAGTCCAAAAGAAATATAGACATATATAGAGACATATGTTGTCAGCTAATCCAAGATCATGTTCTCATTCAACCAGAAAGTCATGCAGAGTGACGCAGAGAGTCTCGGAGAAGTGGTATTTAGATGTCACTCAAGCAGATGGTAAATGAGCCTCAGTTCAGTGGAAAGCGTATGTGTTGGTGACATGAACATGAGGAAAGCGGTAATCCAGCCACACACGACAACATGAACTGAAGCTTGCTATCGTGATAGCTAAGAGCGGCGCAAGCACGGGGCAGGTGCCCTGCTCGTTCCAGGGGGAAGGGAAGGGAAAGGAAACTGTGGCTTTGCAACCAGAGACTAAGATTATGGGAAGCCGTAACACCGTAATAGGGCGTGCTTTAGTTCCTAGAACTTCAGCTGGCACCTATTAAAAACATATTCGATAACAAAAAAATTGTAATGTTTCCAGACCGACTTTGGGGAAGGTTTACAAAAATTTCAGCTTTTGAATTGAATTTAACAAAGGGTAGAAACTGAGTTGACTTTTTTCTCTGCTGCCAGTCAGAAAACGAGAGCCCATGCTGGACGAACACGTAAGGACCGATCCATGGTCCCACAGCTGACAGCAAGATGCTCGCTGCTTTAGTGTGCTTTGCGTTTAGGTTCATTTAGGTCCAACAGCCCAGCACTCAGCAGCAAAACGCATGGGAACTAACCTTCAGGTGAGCTGCCATCAGCCTCCTTAGGTTGCTGGGGGTTTGAGCTCCCGTTTGAAACCCTCTGGTTTGGGGTTCATTCCACAGCCCTCTCTAGTATTAAATCAGCACTTTTATAAAATGTGGACTCATTACGTTAGCAGTCATTTTGGATCAATAAAAAGTATCACCTGTAACTTCTTGTCATCGATTTTAAACTACACTTGAGCAATTGTTTCATTTTCTCCTTTCATTTTGTAGGCAGCAAACGTTAGCCAAACTGAATTAAACTAACATGGACTCAGATCCATCTCTGCATAAGAACTCAACCAGTAACAGTGTCCATTCTTCTGAAAAGCTATGGCCAGGAGAAAGAGGCTATCTGCTGTTGGGAAATGAGGCTGTTTTTTAATCCAGAGTTTGTGCTGAGCTCATGGCATATGAGAACAGCTTCTTAAAACCAGGCAGGAGTGCCAGGAGTGAATGATAGCCTTTGTGGCTATCACTGGGCTCCAGTCTGGTCGCAGATGTGAATAAGAGGCAGAAACCAATTACTGGAGACATGAAGGAAAGGAAAATACATCTGTGTGTGCAACACTTGCCATGACTAGAGCAGAAACCAAGAGAGGACCAGGCACAAGCCTGGTTTGCCTCCAGTGATTTCAGAAAAGCCATTGCAAAGGTGAATTCAGCCCAGAGAATGGAGTTCCTAGAAGCAGAGCAGCCCGGACATAAGGAAAACAAAAGGTCAGCCAATGATCAATGTCATGGTGAGTAATCCCTCTTCTCTTCCTTGTCCACAACCACGGTATTAGACCTGGGTTGAAGGGAGTCACTGAAATCATAACAGGAAAGACCAGAGTTGCACCATCCCCGCAGCCACCACGTAAACCTGGCTGAGCATGGGGCCTTGGGTGAGTGAAAGGACACTGGAGCCAGAGACATGTCTTTAACCTTGGCCTTTGCTATTTTGCAGCATTGCTGTTATACCGTCACCCCTCTCTTCCTAACACACAGCCTTTTTTTCCCAAACTGACGTTGAGCGCTGTCAAACACCACATCACACAGATCCTGCATCTTCTAGCAACCTTTTGCTATTTGCCAGCTCAGCTGTTTTGCATTTCAGGAGCAAAGCAAAACAGCTAGATTGCATCTTCGAGCTGACTGATTATTCCTAAACAAGACCTTAAGCAACACGCTACACCCAAACCCACAGGCCAGTCAAGGGCTCTGCAAACACCTTTCCTTCACTGGTCTGTGTGCCACTTCTTCCCACTGTCAGGTCTCTGTGGTGCCTTCATCTCTCTGAGTAGACGCCAGGAAAGTCTCTTACAAAGCAGAATATGATAGACTTGCTAATCTGGCTTGGTATAGTTACATTACTGTCTAAAAATGCATGCATTATTGCATTTATTGACTAGAGATCATTGGTTTAGTACATTAAGAAACCACGGCTTCTAAGGAGTTTTCTATTAATTTACCTGCATTGAGTTTTCCATGATTGCCTCATCGTTTGCTGTTATTTCATTATATGCATCCTAGATGAAGGCTTCTAGCACTCAGCCTTAAGATGCATCAAAGTGCTGGCATCTGCCTCTAGGATTTTGTGCAGTGGGGGACTGCAGGCTCGCAGCCCAAGGGTCCAGGAAAACAAGACATTTGAATTATTTTTATGTCCTTTCACAGTTAATCTATCGTTTTACTAAAGCACAGTGTGTGTAACACTATGTTCAGGATGGATGCAGGTAACAAAGATGCCCTTGTAGCTACTCCAAAGTTCAAGACTCCTTTTTGACTGGAAGAACTACAGTCTGTAATCCTCCTCCTCAGGGTCTCCAATGGATTAAGAAGATCTTGAGATAATAATTTGTTTCATCCTCCCTTTCCCTTGCAGAACTCAAGATGGGGGAGATGAAATGAGGACCACAGTGGGAAGGAATTCGGTAGAAAATATATAGTGGCTTTACCAATTAAAAATTCATGCCTAGGAAGACATGCAAGGAAGAGACTAAGATCAGAGTGGCTGATTTTCCAGAAAACAGAACTGGACATGGACAGGTGAGAGGACAGCACTACGAATATCACTCCTTGTTTTAATCTCTGCCAAAAACAACCTCAACGTTAAGCAACTGAAAGGAGCCTTTCTCTGGGGAGGAGTCCCTGCCTGCACTACGCCTCCTCCTCCAAGGATAAACCACCTCACCTGGCAAACGGAAACACTACAAAAGTAATGATATTTTTTTCAGCTATACTATTGACCAAATCTTTGCCATTTGGAAATGTACTGAAATGCTGTCTGCGCAACTGGTGATCACCCAATATTTAAACCAGTTCTTTCAGGGATAAACTTCAAGGAAGGCCACAGTACCATCAAAACACGTAGCAGGAGGCTAACTCAAAGATTCAGGCTATTTATCCAGGTACAGGGGATTTCCTGCCATGGAGAACTGCTTATTACGAAATCTAGATCATGCCCCCTTCCTCTTTGTTACCCATTCAGAGATGGGATTTACCACACTACTTCTGAGCTTCTGGTACACGCAAGTTTCAGGCATGAGTCTTAGCCTCTAGTCTGACAGATAATAAAAATACCCAGCAGGGAAAAAAATAGCAAGAAAAGAAAAGATACAAGTTGGAACAATTAATGGAGAAAATCAGAGATACATATACTTTTAAAACTGTAGTTTTATACTTTTAAAACTGTAGTTTGTTGGCTTTCTGAGGGAGACAGAGACTGGTGATTTTGAGAATTAAAACGGACTCCAAAAAAGAGCATGCAAAAATCCGATTTCACAAACATGCGGCATCACTCAGTGCCCTGCCACTCCTGGGCTTTCCACCTGCCTGGCTGCGGGGGGAAGAGCTGATGGGGTTCACCTGCCAGCATTCACAGCATGCAAACTCTGGGCATTGGTAATTCAAGAAAGTGCATGTTTGCTGCTGAGAAGCAGTGTCTGGGGCGGGGGAAGAGATTCTTCCAGTGCAGGCGTGGAAGTAGATATATTTATGCATAAGTAACTTAAGATATATGTATCTGTGTACCCTTATGGCCATTAGATGGGTGCTCTTTGGGAATTCTCTGAAGCCGCCTAACGATTGTCAGCTTGATGAAAAAGATGAAAACACTGCTCGTACGAAACCCTCTGCTCTAGCTATCTGTTCCCCACGGGATCTAGAAACAGAACCATTCACAATGCCAATGTCAACGCTGAGGGGAACCCGTATCCCCTACGTCTGGTGGGACAGGCTGAGATTAGTCCTTCTCTAGCTGCGTAGTAGAGGTGCTAGATAGGCAAGCCATGGCTTCCAAAGGCCACAAGACTAGGAAAGGTCAATTTGTAGTGTTCAGAGAGCCAAAGGAACGGTGATTGAGCAGAGAGGTAGGAAGCTGGTATTTCTCATGCTGCTAACGTGATATTGCTGTACAGTGCAATTCAATTTGCAAGGATTCCCTGGATCTTGAGGCGGGATGGAGCGATAGGGAGGAAGGGGTCTTTTTGAAAATTTTTTTTTGAAATTTTTTTTTTAAGTTAATTAATTATTTATTTTTAATTTTCCATCATTTGTTAAACTTCAGCTCCTGGCCTCCATTGCTGAGCAGCCGCTGGCTTGCTAGCCCAGACCAAATTCCCCATCCTCGTCTCTTTGAATCACATGTTCTGCATGATTAGCAGACAAGGAAGCCTCTAATTTCTGAGCGGGCAATGGGGAGGCTCTTTCACCTTTTTTTACTCATCTAGTACCTCTATTAAGCAGAGAAGTGATCAGAACGGGTGGTAGCAGGGTAGAGGGAGAATGAGCCGTGCAGCTTTTGATTAGTTCCGTGCGACGCATTTCCCGTGGTACCTAGAGTTTCCTGAGCAGCATCCGCATAGTGACTCTCTGCACGGTTTGCTTTTACTGGAAATGAGGGGAGAGTAAAAATTAGACCTGGAAGCAAATGCCAGACAGGAAACTTTTGATTACTGACTCTAGGTTTAAAAGACAGGTGTTTTGAGGGCCGGGTTCATGACAGGATTTTTCTGTTTGAGCGTTAAATGGAAAAAAAAATAAAAATCAAGGGGGTTTCTGAAATTTGTCTCACTGTGGTCAATAAATGTCATTATTAGAAATGACGCATACTGCATTGAATCGGTGGCGTCAGTTCATCTACAATTGACTGAGTCCTGCAGGAAGATTTTTCATCTGCATTGCAAACAAAAAGTACTCTCTTCTTCCTCTAAACAGATAAAAAAGACATTTTTTTTAATTGCCTAAGCCATGGAGGGCCAAAACTTCAACTTGTTTTGTCCAACAACATTGAAAAGGTTCAAATTCCTTTTTTTTTTTTCCAAAAAAAACCTCACAAAGACAGCCAGTTAATCTGTGAATTATTTGCACTTCTCATACAGAAAATAGCATCGTATTAAGCCTGGCATTTAAAAAAAAAAAAAAGATAAAAGCGGGGTGTGGTGCAGTCCCTTATGGGAAAGGATTTGAACATCTGCGTTCACACATCCATTTTTCATAACGCTTTTTAGATGGACCCTACCACTTCTGCAGAGTCACTGGCTTTGCTGAGGCACCACCACAGCTCCCGTGAGCCCATCCCAAATCGCTGCTCAGGCACTGCCCTGCCAGGAGATCGCCCCCACGACCAGGGTCCTCCACGCCATGGAGCAGCCCTCTACCTGCGGAAGGGTAATGACGTGGCCCCCATCACCCCACCTGGCCACCAGCGGGCATCACTTGCTGAGTTCATGGACAGACTGAAAAGGCTGAAGGGTGTAAAAACCCAATCTCATTTTACACTTGAACTCGGCAATCGGAGGAGCTCGCAGGCACACACAGAAGGAATTTGCAGGAATTCTTTCTGCTTCGCGACGTCCTGTGCAAGCTCAGCCGACACCACCCTCTGCATCCTGGGGACTCCTTAGGCACCCGCAATGGGACCCCCCATCCCCAGGGAGCCCCGGGGACCAGAGGTGCTACCGGGGCTGTTCTGGAGCTGGGGTCTGAGCATCGCGGCGTGGGAGTGAATATTCAGCATGCAGAGCCTCAGGGAGACACGTGGGTTACTCTCCTCTCAGTCTCCTCTGCAGTCCCTACGGAAAGATGCAGTCCCTTCTGTGCAAATAATCCGCTCCCCTAAAGGCAACTGATTATTTCCAGATTACTGTCAGTCCCAGCATGAGTCTCTGACACCAGTTTAATCGGTTAGAAGGTCAAACGCCAACCCAGGCTAACAAGGCCCATCGGGCTGGTGATTGACACCAGTTTCCACGGGCAGCAGCGGTTAGTGACACCTCGGACACCCTAGGCTGGATGAGCAGGGGCCCACTGAGGCAACCAAAGGCATCCTCCAGTGCGTACAAAAGCCTTAATCACACCCCTGAACAGAGATATTAATGTTTTGTGTATCTCAGACAGACATATACATACATTGATATATAGATATACGCACAGATACACACACACATTACAAGGTGGCCCAGTCCAGCGTTCACTCAATATAATGGCCAAGGTCTTGCTGAGTTCATTAAGGTCAAGGACAAACCACAGCTGAGGACAACCTTCCAAAGAGGTTCCTCTCATTACCTACGGGACTGAACTCATGCTGGACAAAGTAATCTGAGTTTTAGCTTCCCAGTTCCCTGAAATCCTTCTGTTTCTTTTTCTTTGATATTAATGTGTTATTATGATCACTTGGTTCATTAATTTTTAGCTTTTCACCCAATTATATTTTGGAAAATACAAAAGGAAGAAATGTGGTCATGGATGCCTTCAGATGTTTATCAAACCATCTGTTAAAGAGCATCTGAAGCACGCATTTCATATAGGAGCCTCCGTAGTCCTGGCTAACCATATGTTTGTCTTTTTGACATTACAATCAGAAGACAAAATAAACAGAGACGAGATGCCACAGCGAATTTCCAGCCTGATTAACATAGGAGTAATCAAACCCCGTTACCACTCTGATTTGCTAGCTTTCTGCAGCAGGAGGGGTGAGAAAAGCCCCACCACAGGGCAGCTCTCCTTCCCTGGTGTTATGAGGCAGAGAGGACTCATATTTGGACCGAGAGCATGAGAGTAGCGTGGTCTTGGAGGCACGACTGGGGCTAACTGCTCCTGCAGTAGCAGCCAGCCCAGGGAAGGGCAGATGGCCACTTCTCCTGGCCAAGGCAGACAGTAGGGTGGACACAGCGCCCAAAGCAACGGGCAACAGAGGAAGCTCTGTAAGCAGCTTTTAAATAGGGAGGAAAATAAAAAGGGGGAAGGGTAAGTAGCATGTAGAAAAAGGCCAGCATCTTTTCTGCTCATCACAGCCTGGGCTCCATGTCACAGGGAGGTGAGTTCCTGTCCCTCCCCACAGGTCAGCACACAGCTTCCCGGCGCTCGGTCATAGATGGATGCAGACAAGCTCGCGGTGAAACACGAAACAGAAGCGATAGAGAAAGGACGTAACCTGTCTCTCAGATCGGCTGTCCCATTTTACGCCAAGACCAAATCAAAAGCCACCTGAGTAATTCCAGGTGAACCTGAGCCTCCACCATGCTAACCCCATCGCCTCCTCATGTCCTCCCACCCCAGGCAGCAGCTCTCCGAGTGCCGTCTCGGCAGAAATCAGCACGGCTACAGCAGCACCGGAGCCAGAGGGCAGCATCGCCGCTGGTGCACGGGCAAGACCCCGACAGCTGCCCCGCGCACTGGCGGGGCGTTTGGGATGCTCCCTGACCTTGCAAGGCAATGTTTGTCTTGCACAGAGCAGCCGTGCCAGCATCCCTTCTCTAACTTAAAAAATATTAAGATGCAAAATAGTGAAAAAGCTGTTTCTGTTCTGTTTGCTGTAAGGATTTTGTGGTGTATCAGTTATGGAAAGAGGGATATAGGAAATCAGCCACTCCCTACACATAAATACAACGGGAGGAAGATTCAGCTTTCTCCAGATGAGAGACTGTATGTTTCCTTACATCGATGGAAATGGGAAGTGGCAAATCCTTTACCAGCTGAAGCGGTAAAAGTGTGGTGCTGGGGTCTGCTATGAGAGACGATTCATCCCGAGGAGTTTCCTGAGTGAAACAGTCATCAGTGACAGACCACGACTGGATGATTAACTGTCGGGTGGGCTGAGAAACAGGACAAGTTTTCTTTTCTAAGGGCACGATGACACACTGAGCATCATTGGGAGGCTGCTGGAAATTAAAGTGGGTGGGAGATTTGGGATGTGAATGTAAAAGATCCAGAAACTTTTATTTGGGAAAACAGGTGATTTGGGGCCCCCTGAATATAGGGACTACTGTGCAAAATTCCTTCCTGAGGTCTGAGACGTTATCAGATGGAAAAGGGCAGTGGGAGCAGGTAGAATTGATATTGCTCTAACAGAACACAGAAGGAAAGAGCTTTGGTTCTGCTACAGCAGCTGAACTGAACACTATAGAAAGTATTCTACTGCCATATACACGGCAGCTGCAGACCCTCAGCTTAAGCGCTCCTGGGTTCAGGTTTAGCATCTTACAACAGAGGGCAACAAAACCCATCAGCGTTTGGAAATGACCCTGATGAAGGAGCCATATATAGTAAAAAAATACTCTGAAAAAGGGCAGTGAAAGGCTATTTTTACTTCTTTCTGTGACATAAGTTAAAGAAAGCAATGTAGAAAATGAACAGGGAAAAACCTGCAACCTCTACGAAGAAATATTATATCCAGCCTAGTGTTTTAACCAGTGAAAATGAACCCTGCAAGACAGGACTGAGATTCAAAAATAAGAAATAAGACTAGTGCCTCAGAGATAAGACTAGTGCCTACGATTGCAGGGATGCTGGCTGGTGTGACCCTACGAGGGAGAGCCGGTCCTCAGATTTCCTCGGCTATGGAGCTGATCAGATGAACAGAGATTTCGTCTCATTGCACAGTCATATGCCTGTGAGAAATGTGGATTTACCCTTTGATGCATCCGAAGTATGGCACTGGTTGAGACAGGGCAGCGGAGCAGCCAGGTCCCTGGGATGAAATGTTGACCCTCCTGATGCCACGGGCGGGTGGCCAAGATTTCAGCCTTGGTCTGCTCCCAGAGAGCACTTCCCACGTCATGCTCCCTGCTTTAATAAAGCTGGATGGAGGCTGCCTCCGCTCTAGCTACGCAGGCTGAGGCCCCAGGTAGGAAAAAAAAAATCTGGATAGTTGAAACATGATCTTGGAGATTTGGTTTATTTGGCAGGGAAGTGGATGGAGTGCTACGGAGGTTCTGCTTGCAAAGAAAAGCTCAAATGAAAGACAGAAAAAAGAGCCCAAGGGGGGGGGGGGGGAGGGGGGGGGAATTATTCCTCCCTTTACTGAGCACTGTATCTACCCAGATATCTTTGGTTGGATTTTATGCCAGGGAAAAATTAGTTTCTGGCCTCTTACAAGATAAAAGGCACAGCAGAAAGTTACATCTGCAAAATGCCAGGCTGTAGTTATACTTCTGAAAGACATATTCAGTGTTTACAATATTTAGGCCGTAAGCTATGTTTTGAGAAATGAGATGGAAGATCTGAAAGCCAAGCAGATGATCTCCACAGATCATCAGTTTTGCATCTTGCTTCCCAAGAAAAAAAATGAGATTCAGTCCCAGAATTACTTCTTAAAAGAACTGGGAAAATATAGGAAAAAAAATCCCAGAATTAAATACTTCTACAGGGATGAAAAGTATCCTAAAAGTATCCCAAATACCAGCCCTGTTGCTTTCCCTGGGACATGTGAATAGAGAAAAGCTCTCCCGTAGGTGAGATTTACGACTGGCCTTGGAAGGTGCTCGCCACTTCTCAGAGGGCGCCCGGCTGAGCACGCTCTGCACGGTGGACTCGAGGCATGGAGGGAAGACGGAGCAGGGACTGTGCTTCATCCAGAGGTTGTGAGGCCAAAGGGAATGGGGTGGAGAAAGGGTGTCTCTGCCATGCAACGTCGTGCCGTGTCAGAGAGCCCTCCCGTGTCCCACGGAGCAGCAGGTCCACGCAGCCCCGGGCAGTACCCTGCAGCGAGAGGAGCTCAGGAGAAGTTGCTAACTCAGCGACATGGTGATGGCTTCGTGTTCCCATGTCACCTCTGCCTGGCATGGCGTTGGGTGATGGAGACATAGGCAAAGCATCACCTACCCACCGGCACTCACTGAGCCTGCGTTATACTGTTTCAGCTACGACTCCAGCAACAAAAGAAAAAAAAGCAGCATAAACCAAAGCCCTGCTGTCACCCCGGATAAGTGTCTGCCAGCTCTGCCCGTGCTGCCCACCACTCTCTCTAGCCCCCACAGCCTCGCTATCCTCGCAGCTACAGCCCGAGGCAGACTGGAAGGAAGATATGATTTAAGGTCCAGCATACACGTAGATACATCGGACTGCCACAGCACAGAAAAAGCACGTTAATACCTAGAATGCTTCCCTCGATGGCGCCACATGGTACACACACGCACACACGTACATAGAAATCTACAGGTAATGCATGGGAATGGCATGTTGGCAGTGATACAGACCTGGGCGATGGTTCGGGCTGCTGCTCTTTCCTTTAAACAGAAGCAATAGTACATTAGCAAGGTGTCAGGTGGCAAAAGATGTTGCTGCTTCACTGTTAAAACATAACGAAAGGACAATACCAAACAATACAACTAAGTGGAAGTTGTGGACAGAAGAGAGGGAAAGGAGCACTTAATTCCTGGAGTTTCTGTCCCGGACAGAAGATCACTGGAGACTCACACAACCTCAGAGAAGACACATACAACGCACAGGGTTGAAGAGTTTATCCCAACCCATCCTTGTGCCTACGCATGACTGAGACACCTGACGGTCGTGTGATTTGTGTGAGCACAGGAGGACTTCTGTGGGCTCAGAGAGCAGCCCCCTTCGTTTGGAAATCACCGCCCTGAGTTGTTTCTGCACATAGGGAAGGATTTGAATAGCTCCCCTGACCCGGGTGCATCTGCTTTTCCTTCCTGGCCATTGGGACAGAGCTAATGTCAGATCTCTTGATGCATTAGCCGCAGTGCTAATGCGTGGTGCTGGGAGGGGGACATTGGTGGGAAGGAGTACGGACCCCTGCCCTGATACCCTGACACCCCAGGTCGGGTTTCTGCCTCCAAAGCCTTTGGCAGTTACTTTGCCAAAGTAGTTGGCAAAGGCTACATGGAGGGAGCGGGACGCCACAATTTTTGTATGCCGTTTCCTACTGAGATCCCAAACCACTTGATTGCCCTGAAAAATCATTGACATTGAGGACAAAGCGAGCTGAACACCTGCAAAAGGGTAGGCATAACACTGCAAGCCAAGCTAAGGCCACACTGAAAAAAAATCTCACCTTCACTGAGCAGGCATCTTGGTGACATTTCCCTTCAGCAATGAGGAAAACCTGCTCTGCCTTCAACTACTCTGATTCACAGGTTCTTCACACTGGGAAATTGCATTTAATCTGGGTCCCCGAAGCAGCCTTTCCCCTGCAGCCCCGCAAGAAAGGGAGCAGACTGTGTTTCTCAGCAGAGAAGGGCCTGCCTCCCCTAACACCAGACAGTCGAAGGGACAAACCAGACTGCGAGAAGACCTGGGCAGGAGGAGCTCGATTCCCTCTGAGCGTGATGCTGTACCAGCCCTGGCCCTGCCTCCACCCAGCAGTGACTGCTGAGATGCTGAGATCTGCACAGACCCCGACCCCTCTCCCTTCGGCTGAAGGCAGCAGCCTGGACAGACTAAAAAAATGCCCCTCCACCCTCTGCTCCTTGCTCAGACAAGCTTGGAAGCCCAGCCTCAGTCACTAGCTCAAATACTCACATTTTAAAGTTTGCAGTCTGACCCACGGGTCTACAGATCTCTACTCTCTGCAGAGACACACAGCCCAGGGCAGGTCCCATCCCACCCCTCCCAACTAGCCCTGATGCCCACCGGCATGGGCAGCATCTCTCCCTCCCTTCTGGGGTCTGCACACTCCCCATTCACCAAACGGGACAACCTCGCCTGCTTAAAAAAACAAGAATTACCCCTCCCAAGCATACGTTTAAGCTGCAGGACTCCTGGCCTTCTGGGGCAATCATGTATACCTTGCCACAGCAAATCTAGCAAAAATTTCTCACCGCTACGACCTTGCCTGCTCTTGGGGGAGGAGAGGGAAGGCTGGAGAGAACGGGGAATTAATTAACACATTGTGAGCCTGAGTCTCCTCTGAGGGTGGTGAAAAGCAGAAAGGTCAGAGGAAAACTGGGAACACTACCTTGACCAGACCCTTTGAAAATATGACTGCATTTTCAGCCAAGCACTGTAATATTACTCCAAAGCCAAGTTAGGCTGAAGAAATTCAGGTACAGCATGGGAGAGGGATGGAGAGGTCACTGAACGACCCATGGGGGACCAGCTGCCAAAACCTCTCACATCTTCAAGGCTGTCCATATGCAAAAGGCAGGAAGGAAAAAACCAAAAGAAAAAAAGAGAAAAAAAAAAACAACAAAAGAAAAAGCTTACAAAGTGTGTACTTTCCGAGCTCTCTTAACTCTGCTGCTAACCTGAATGTCAGTCCTGATTTGCTCTTCAGGTTCCTCAGGAGCTCCAGCTGGTTCAGAGGAGGGATGAGTCTAGAGGGACAAAATAAAGACCATTAATATTCAGGCAGAGCTGATTTCAGAGCCTCCTGTCTCGGAAACTTCCCCCGCTGCCCCATCCTTTCAACTAGAACCAGCTTTGTGCCACCATCTGCAACTGGGGGGCAGCTCGGGAAGGATGGAGAAGGGTTTGGCTGCTACTTCCAACAGTGTCCTAAGGCAGAGTGGTGGGGGAAGAGAGAAAGTGACAGCAAGAGAGAGAGAGAAACTTGTCTGCACCACCGGATTTTGAACCTCCCAAAAAACAAGCAGCTGCCAGGGTTTCTGAGCAGCACCGCAGTGTTTTGGCAGGAGAGCTGTTTCACCACCTGTAGTCTAGTGGTTGGCATTGCTAAGTTTGGAGGTCAACGCTTCAGCTGTGTATTAGGTGGATAGAAGCTCCAGTTTCGGAGGCAAATGGGAAAACTCAACCCTGCTGCTCTTGGGAATGTGGGGAGGCATGGGAAGGAGCAGCTTATGGGGCAGAGGAAATCGGGACAGGACGCTAGGACCATCCCAGGATAAACAGCAGTGCGCTCCGGGGTCAAGTTTAACCAATTCCCTACTATCCTCATCAGGTTTTGCCCCAAAATGAGGCAAAATCATGTATCGTTGCCTCCTAGGAACCATGGGTTTCCTTCCTTTTTCAGGAATAAAAAGAACCTGACAATGGGAATCCTGGTTAATAATTAAAAAAAAAAAATGAACAAACACCCTGTTGCCTATCCTGCCTTTGTGCTAAAAGCCATTGAATTAGCTCCCACATCCACTTTTGGTTTCTTCCCTCAGACCCTGGGAGACTGGGGCTTGCTCCATAAATATTTAACGTCGATATTCAGTCAGGTTTTTAACCAAAAAAGATGTGAGCTGGAGGTGTCGGGGGGAGGATGGAGAACGCTGCACACGGTTGCGAAGAGCAGCATCTACTTAAAAGCGTGTTTGGGGACTCTGCATTTGGGGTCAAGGCCAACGGGGCTCATCCCATGGCTTGCTGCAAACTCCTTTCTGGGCCACCAGCGTGCCCTTGTCAAACTGTCGAAGTGCCACATGCCATCAACTGTGCCCAGAGGGTGCGAAGTCAGCGCAGCAGCCGCCTCCGGTCGCGCTTGTGACAAGGGAGCGGGAGGATGCATCACTGCAGGGATGAAGGGGAGGATGGGGGCTGCCGGCGGGCGGGGAACAGGCTGCCTGCAGCTGCCCGCCTCTGCGCAGTTGGGGCCACAGCCCAAAAAGCCACGACCCCAAGGCAGCGTATACTTATGGCTTTTCTGGAAAATTAACCACGTAGGTTTTAATGAAAGCAAGCGGGACCTACGCAAACTGTCCCCAAACCGCAACTTAGGACTGGAAGGAAAGGGGTGCGAGTGCTTGCACTCCCCTAAAAGACTGGTCTCAGCTGAGGTGCTGTAAGAAATGGGGCTGTTGCTTACTGTAAAATAAAGGCAGAGATATTTATGACCACATTTTTTCAGCCGTTATGAGACCAATAGTTTCACAGTTTTTCTCTAACTGAAAAAAAACCCAACTGGAAAAGCCTCTCCTCTGCATGCACAAAACTCATCCTCAAAACCACAGTTGTTCAGCAGAGCAGATTTGGTGTTCACAAGATTGAAGCAATCAGAAAATTTTCCAATCCTAAGTATGGAGAAAAGAATAAAAATAGGCCTGAAAATTTTGGCTCAGCTCCCCAGTCCAGCTCTGTTCGCTTCCATCCGGAGAAGAGCACATCCTGATCTGATGAATTAATGATCCTCTTCACTCAAGACGTCAGGAAGAAGCTGACCTTGGTGCAGTGGAGCAGTGCACGAGTGCTGGGCTGTCACCCCCGTTCAAACCCACCGTAGAGTTTGCGGATTTGTTCCAAGGTGGGAGAAGGTGGTGCATAAAATCAAGCACGAAGTGTACTTAGCAGTTAATGAAGGGTGCACAACTGTTCTTTGGTGAGTTAGTTTCTCAGGGAGGTCCATACCCAGCAGAACAGAGGACAACAGCCCCACTTCCTCCAGCTGGGATCACAAACCCAGGGCTCCCACCGATGCAAGTCTCAGAGCTGAAGAGCTCATTAGCTCACTAGATTGAAGGATTCAGGATCCCAAAAGGAGCTCCTTCCTTTGCATTAGCCCACAACACAAGGTTTACACCGTGCTGAAGGTGGCAATCTCTCGGGCCCCCACAGGTGCTTCCATGCAAAGGTAAAGACACACAGAAATTCACCATTTCTGTGGTAGGGTGAAGGGCCTAGTACACGTGTGGTGGAAAAAATGATGTTTTACTGAAACTATAATTATTAAAAATGGGTACAAACTCAGCCATGTACTTGACTTGAAATTTAATTTGAATTGAATGCTCAGCCTAACCTGTCATTACAAGAGCAGCTTGGGGAACAGCTACTGCATTGCACTATTTCACCAGAACCTCAAAGAAAAGACAGGGCTCTGCACAGCACTTTAACTGAGCTTTGCTATAAAACGCTGGATGGAGGGCACCCTGCACTGGTGTGTGTGCCCAGGGGACAGGTGCCACAGGTGCCACTGTGTCCTCCAGAGATGTGGAGAAAGGACCTCCGGCTGGGGCGTCTCACATTTTCTCTCTCTCCTCCTGGTCCACGTGTCACTTGTTAGCAAGGGAAGCGTGTTTCAGTTAAAGGGGAGCTAGGTGAGAAGATCTGCACGCCATGGGAACGCACACAGCTCATGCTACCCACCACAGCAACACTTCCGAGTCGCCGGCTGCTGCAGGGGACGCAGCGGTACCTACAGCTGCTTTCCATCACCCCTCCCAGTACAGCACAGAGAAACACCACACTAACTCCAGGCGCCGGCTGCCCCCATCCAAAGGGAAGGCAAATTTGCTATTCCTGGTAGCACAGACAACGCTCAAGCATCTGGGGACAGTAGGGATATCATGCCTCTGGCCAGGACATCATCAAAAACCCACAACGCGAGGAGGGCAGCAGCACACAACAGTGGGTGGGAGCATACACAAAAACACGTACAAACCACGACACGCGCGCACACAGAGACGACGATGATTTTTTTTGACCAGCCCCAGTATGAACAATTAGGAAGAGGGTGACAAGGAGATGGATGCTGGAATGGGATGGGGACTGAAATGAGTCTCCATGCTGTGTTGGAGTTCCTATGAGGAGCCAATTTTTACCCTAACCATGACTTTATGTCTCCAGCTTAAGCTATTTTTCATAACTGAGAACATTTATGAAACTTATAAAACATTTTATTGTAAGAAATGGGATGGAAGTGGCACATTCTTATTTCACTCCCAGCAGTAGAAAAATGTCTGATTCTCAAAACAGGCTGTTGTTCAGCACAACAGGAAAATGTATTCATAATATTATACTTGCAACTCATTGATGCAATTTGCTGTAAATTAACCACACAAAGCAGTAAGTGTGATTTACTAAGGCTGTAAAACTTGCATCTGTGAAAACTGGAACCAGGTGTGGAAATCAGTCACTAAATCACATCAGCTCTAACAGCATTCATGCATCTAGTGAGGATTTAAACTGCTCTAAGAACAGAGCTTGGCCCACAGTCTTGAAATGCAAGCCATTTATTCCCCATCTTAAAATATTGACTTGACTACACCTTCAGATACCCATCTCATACAAAATATGCCTGTGATTTGAAAATCTACTCTTTTCTGCAGAACCTGAGATAATATTATTTATCGTAAATCTTACACAGCCATACACAGGTCTTTGCATTTGGATTGATCCCAAAAGGTTAAGTCCCAGATTGAATAACTGGGGCTAAAAACTGCTTGGCTCTAGGTCTGTCTTGGAATAAAAAACTGAAATGGAAAAGTCCTGCTGAGATGGGACATCCCTTTCCCAAAAATCAGACTGGATTACTAGAAGAAATGAATGCTCATTTCAGTTTAGCATTCCAGATCTCTCTCTCTCCTCCAGACGTTGTCCCCAAAAGCAGGCACAGCTGCTACTGTGATTTTATCCTGTGCTACCACTGATGCGTCCTACGGTGCCACCACACCAGCAAATTCAGCAAACCTAGCGTTACCTCGTGGGCACAGCTCCTACAGCATGAGGTGAGATAAATGACACAATGAAGGATGGGAAAAGAGGGCTGGAGAAAAGGGAACGCGCGGGAGCGATGGCAGAGGTAAAATGGAAGTATGAACAGGGAAGTTTTCTTGTTAAGTGTTGTATGAATTGGAGGAGGTTGGTAAGACCATCAAGAAATCATCCTTAAAAAAGCAAGCTTATCAAGTGCTCTTCCATTCTCCTTCCTTAAATCATCATTTTGGCAGACGGTTTCCCAACACTTGTGTGTACCAATAGCTAAAATGTACATGGAGGTGCATGGAGTTAGTCTGTAGGCAGCAGGATGGAGAGTCTGGTTTGGGCTTTCACTCATTCCTTTGAAAAAACTGATCTTCAGAGGTTTCTTTTTTTTCTTTTTTTTTTTTTTTAATTAAAGGCTTTGCATGTTACAGTCCCAAACGAAGAACAAGGAGTGACATGACACACAGTTTCAGAGTCACATGCACTTCATACCTGGAGGCACCGTACGTTTGCGTTTGCGTGCTTTTCAAGTGTTTTCACCAAAGAAAACCAAAGGGATAAGAGAAAGAAAAACAGGGGGGGGAAGGTGGGGTGGAGGAAAGGGGAAAAGAAACAGGATAAAGAAAATTAGCATATGAACGAAGTGTATCCCCGGCAGCAGATGCGCTGTGACCAGGCTTACAGGTGAGCACGGGAGCGTGGGCTGAGCTCGCTCCCGCTGCAGCCGGCTCAGAAACCACTGCACACCCGCGTCACCCTCAGGGACAGGCAGCTGGCACCGTGCTCCGAAAGCAAATGGGCACCACAGTGCGGGGAAAATGTGAGGGCCTCCCAAAGACCTTTCATGAGACATCCACAGCCCTCGGTCCCATCAGCCAGGGACTCCTTGGGCTGGGCTGCTGACTTGGGCATGATGTGCAAGCAGGGTTTTTTTAGTGAAGACCAATATATGAATGCAGTTGAGATCAAGGCCCTGTTCTCACAAGTGACGATAAAGAGTAGATTTTTCTTCAGCAAATCCAGTGGCTGATGCATAACAGGTTACGATGTCTGGGCGCAGCAAGCTATGCATGCATTACAAGCCCAAACCGCACCTGCACGTACAGGAGCCTTGTGCATATTTCAGATTTGGTTCTACCACATTTTGAATTTAATGATGAAATCTAAGCTACTCTCAGAGGCCACCATATTTTCCCCAAACAAGTGAGACTGCAGTAGAGCTAGTGATTTGAGTGATGTTCTGAAGACACGTGAACTCCTCCAAGGCATGTGTAACAATTTTCTCTTATCAAGCAGCCAGTCTTTTTGGAGATGCCTTGGGAAGAGAGGTAAGCTCAAGTCACAGGGCTCCTGCTATGAGGAATAAGCAGCCCAATGTTGAGCAGAAAGGGTGCCAAGGTAGCGGTGGCTGCAGATCACCCCCAGGCACCCAGGAGGGAGACGGGGGTATTGTGTTCCTCCAACCCGCTTCCTAACCACCTTGTGCGTTTCAGCCGCATGTCAGTGGCCATCGCCTTAATGTGGCACTGGGCTTGACGTGCCACTGAGGCTGCACCAGCACAGGGCTGCCAGCACCCGCCAGCTGGCTTAGTGAAGTGGGTAGACGAGGATAGATGGACAGTGTGAGTGATGGAAGCTGCAGCCAGAACATACAGTTACACCCTTTTTTTTTTTTTTCCAATTAATTTATCTGACTGCATCCAAAACACAATCAAAAGAGGTTCACTGCTTTCTTGGTAAAAAATTAAATTTGACTAACAGCTGGATCCATTGGTGCGCCCACGGCCCACTCTCCCAGGTGACGTTCACTTCGCCTGCGCACAGACAGGAGTTGGGATTTAAGGGTGAAGCTGGGAGAGCAGAAACCTGTGCCCAGGGAAGCCCAGGGTGACACTGCTGCTTGGGGCCAGCATTGGGAGCAGCACCCACAGCATCAGCCAGCAAAACTGCTATGACCCTGCTACGACTTTTTCTTGTCTTTTTATTCAAGATAGCTGGGCTCTTCACTAAACCGCACTTTTTGCTCTTTCTCCTTCCCAAAGTTTTAATTTAGCCTCTTCTGGAGCTCTTTAGCTTAGTTTTCTTCCATGTATTAGCTCCACGGGAAATACAGGTTTTAACAAGCGGATTAAGTAGCAAGTAATTACCCCCAGTACATCCTCATGCAAAAGGGTGTCACTGTATGTCTGGCTGTGTAGTAAGTTCAGTCTTTGAAACAGCAGTAAAACCTGACAAAGTCCACTGAAATCAGCCCCTGGATTTCTCCGTTTTGCAGAGGACTTTGGACCAGGCTCCGGACCTCGTCCTCTCCAGTAGCTGATCTCAGCCAGTGCCACAAATGTACAGAAGGTCAAATACTGGGAGGGAGAGTTTCAATGGGGGGTGGGTTTAATGTTATTGCAAAACAGTCGTGTTCTGTTTTGTTGGGTTGTTGGTTTGGGTTTTTTTAAGCTAAATCTTGAAGTCAGTTCATAAATCTCTAGGGAAAAAGCAACCCGTCAGACACACACTGGGAATGAATCCAATGAAAACTTACTGACCACGACAATGTGACTTCCAACAGGTTTTTAAGATGGTTTGACAGGCTGGCCGCTGTGTTTCAAACACAGGCTAATGCTTACACTAGGAAATATATCCAGATTGTCTGCCCGGGGGCTAAAAGGCACCAGTAACATGGGAAAACACAAAGGGATTCACACCTGCAGTGGCATAACCTGGTGCTGCACCACAGCCCTGCTTGGGAGCAGGGAGACGGGGTACAGGGAGCCCCATCACACCCCAACAAAACCCAGCGAAGCTACAGGAATATCTAACCAACAGATCCAACTCCTGTACAAACCCAAAGAGATCTGGCTAGCCCCTAAAAACACGCCAGAAAGGGATGCGCGGCTCTGCCCGCGATGCAGTGCAGTGGGAAGTGTAAAATGAACGGCAATGCTTTGCCTTTTCGTTTCTGGGGAAGCCTCCTCCTAGCTGCCACCAACCCTGGGAGTGACACGGGGGATGCAGTGCTTCCCCACGTCCCGGAGAGCAGTGAGGCATGGCAGGGGACTCTGTCCCCATCTCCATGAAGCTCCAAATCCCAAGAGGCTGTGAATTCCCACAGCACTGCTTTAACCTGTGTCATTTCAGCTGAAAAAGCTGCCTAGGTACGATGACGAGTTACCTCTCCTTAAAGCAAGCCAGATGGATGCTGCTAAAACACAGTGGTGCTTTATCAGCATCACCCGTCACAGCTCTGCCATCCTTCCCTGCTCATGTCAACAGATTGGGATGGATAAATGAAATGCAAGAAATGGGAAAATGCTCACTGAATCCTGATTTATTTTTCCTTGTCTTAGACGAAAAAAAAGGAAAGGAAAGGGGGACCCAGGGCAAATGCACCTGGGGAGAGAGCTGGGCCAGTCAAGGCAGGGACAGTTTGCTGAAAGGCAGAAGGACCATTAGAGACCAGCTGGAGCAGCAAGGAGAGCCCAAGCAAGGGCACAAGGAGGGTGGCGTTTACCTACGATCCAGGGCAGCTCAGGAGGGAGGTCTTCACACCTGGGCACAGCAACTGTCACAACACAATGCAACTACCAGTGGACGTGGAGAAATAAAGGTGAAAAGAAGAGCACATACACACAGAGACACGAAAAGAAAAAAAAAGAAAACAACAGGGAAATTAAAATCAAGTCAAAAAGAAACACACACAAAAAAACCAACGCAAAAAAACTCCAAAAGCAAAAAGCATATACCAGCCCTTAAGACATCTTGAAATCAACTTTTTCAACCTAAAAGATGTAAATAAATAAACGAAACTATATCTCCAGATAGCAAAAATAAATATGGAGACAGTGGCATCACAAGGAAGGCAGTGGAAGAGGGAGGTTGAGGAGGAGGTACCTGTACATGGGGACGGTGACGGTGCGTTCATAGTACTGCCAGGTGGAGTGCAGGTCCGTCCGGGACAGGTTGGTGGCATAAAATCTCCAAGCCGCCTGTGGAGGAGACACGGCGGGATGGTGGACCCAGGCATAGCCAGGACTACCCTTGGTTTTATAAACCTCAGCCACCGAGATTTAGGACACCGAGTCCTCCTTCTGTTTTCTGTGGGATGGCTCTGACATTTTGCCTTTTCCCCATGACAAGTTTGGCGTGGTACCACGATACTCCTGACCATGTAAGCCCACCTAAAAGTGCTGTAGGTACCAGGCACTCGCTGTCAGGGTGAGGTCAGGTATCAAACGGGTGTTGTTGCACATTAGGGAGATGAAAAATTTGGAGAGAGAGGAGCAGTGGAATGTCAAATGACTCTAATTTAAAATCACCAAGGACGGCCTTCTGCGCAGACATCTGTTATCGTGAAAAAAATGCTCCCAATTGTAACTTTATATCAGTATAAATAATCTCTTGGGGGAAAAAAAAAGTTTGGTGAAAACAGACTGTCCTAATGCATTTGTCTTGCTGTGCTGGGCTGGATTTCATTCCTTTTCTCCCCCAGATTGCCTACCACATATGCTATTTTCTCATGGCTGATTTCCTGGCATTTATTCCCAGACAAGACCAGTCACCAGCTGCTGTCTCACACCTCACACACACAGCCCCATTTTTCACCTGCCTGTCTCCTCCCCAACTTCTAAAAGTCTATTAAGCCCCCCAAAATCAGCACAATGTAACTCAAAGGCTCCTTGGATGTGATCCTCACCTGAATCAGGCCCGCTGCTGGGTTTCGCCTCTTCTCAAAGTGTTTTTGTCGATGCTGCTCTTGAACCTTCAGAGCAAACCCTGAACCCAAGATGCCCTGGGGAAGAGAATGAAAATTTGCAGTTAGCAAGGCATTAAGTTTTCACTAAAAAGTTGCAGCCAATTTTCCCTCCAAAGGTTTGTTCTGGCTCATTTTCTGCTTAAAATGTACGGGGGAAGGAAGGAGAAGCCTCCATCCAAGGCAGCCCTGGCAGACGCTCTCCCCACGACGGGGCAGCAGTGGGGAGTGGACTTTGCTGGCACTCACTGGAATTGCTGCTTTTACCAACTACCTCCAGCCGGCTGATAAAATGTAGAATAACCACACCGTGCTGGCATTCAGCAAATTATCCCCATAGGGGAAAATCAGATCCATGCAACACACTGAAATACACTGCAAAAGGGACGGGGTAATTTGCTGAAATGGTGTAATCACCCCTAGGAATAGCCCTTTGCAGGAAAAAAAAAATAGTTTCACTTCAATAAATAATTCTGCAGTGCCAAATCTAGAGTTTCCATCCTGTTTGCTCATACACATAGTGCCCGAGCTGTGGATATTCAGACATGATTTCCCCTCTTCTCCCCTTTTTTTTTTTTGACTCAAAAGCCATGGAGCAGTCGCAGTCGGGAGGTCTCGGGGTGCATCGCGCCGCTGGACGTAGCTGTTGCGTTGCCACCAGCTCCAGGGGCCAGGGACAAAGCGCAGCTGAGCTCAGCCCCCCTCCCAGCGAGACGCTGCAGCCCCTGCTTACGGCAGGAAGGGCGAAGAAGGAGACGCCGATGAGCGTGAATGTAGCTGCCAGCAGCCGCCCGTTCCAGGTCTGAGGATACTTGTCCCCGTAGCCGATGGTGGTGAGAGTAATCTGCAGGGAGGAGATCACCGCACAGCCCTTGGTCAGACAACCTTAAAACTAAACCAACAAAGCCAAAACTCCCGCAACATCAGAGTGGGACATGGAGGAGCCAGGGTTACCACATGCTCTGAGCTGACCAAGTCAAGGTGCAGCTCGGGCACCCGGGAGGACCCCCGGCTTCTTGGGATGGGCACCTCTGTGGGAAGCAGCGATGCCCTGACACCCAGGACAGCACTGTCACCCTCCCTACTCGACACACAGAGTTTTCACGCCAGTGAGGAGCATTTTCTTGCCTTTAGCTGACCTCTGCCATCTGGTGCAGAGGCTTGCAGCAGCTCAGAGCCTCCCCCAGGAGATGGGGTTGTGCCCTCGGCAAGGGAAGCAGACTGGCACAGCTTCCCCAAACTCCCTTTCGGCATCTCACAGAAGAAGGCAGGGCTTTTTGCATGCATAAAGATCTGATGCGGTTTATTCCTAATCTTCCCAGCAGTGCCTAATTGCCGGACTCCCTTCCTATTTAAAAACAGCATATTAGCCCGACAGGATGAATTATGGCTGCTTCATACAACCTAATTTAGGGATGGTTTTTCCCCTCCTCAATATTATTGCAGTGCACCAAGAGAGTGCTGGCAAGCTGCTCTGTGTGTTTTGGGGAAGGAGCTGAGAGATTTCTTAGAGACAAACAATCTCCTGAACCCCAAACTGCAGGAAAAGGTGCATTTTCCCACTTCAGTCCATGGACATCACTAATGGGAAATGTTGGGGATCCCCTGAGGCTTCCGAGAGGATTTGGAGAGCCTGGGACTGGCAGGGCAAGGCAGGGAGAGATGGTCTGGTTAGGAACATCTTCTTTGAGACTTCTGCCCAGTGGACCCAATGGTCCCTGTGCCAAGTGGAAAGTTGTCCCCGTCCCATAGCCTCCATGGGCAGAGCTGGCCCCAGGGATGGGAGCTGACACCGTGCTGATGTGGCTTTGGAAACCTCATGCATTCAACTTAGAATAAAATCACTTTTACACAAATGGAAGTACGATCCCAAAGCGCTGTTTAATTGGACCCACTAAAAGCCCTATCAATTAGATGCCATTTTGACAAAGTGGTTAGAAAATGCATCTACATGGCTATTCCTTACCGAAACACAAAGTCGAAGCAATGCTCTCTCCATAGTCACTGCAAAGTTGGTTTACAAGTTCTTATAAATTAATAGACAACTACAAGGATTGAATCCGCTAAGATCAGACCAAGGGATGAGTTTCTGAACCTGAAATTTGATTTATTTCGCCCATCTCTTAACATCTGTCTGTACTGGACCTGTGAGTTGGACAATGGCAAAACCTGTTTATTTTAATGAAGCTCAAAATTTTACTCTGAGCTTCTCAGTGGCAAAACAGTCTGGTGTACCTCCACGTCCTGAAACGAGGGGGGTGATCCTCTGCCGAAGGCTCTCACAGCCTGGGAAGCAGGAGGGATAAATCTGCACATGGTTCTCCCGAGACTGAGCTCTAATCTGGGCTGTCACTTTTTCCTCATTGTTTATTTTCTAGTTATGTCAAATTGGGCTTTGTTTTTATTTTTCTGTCATAACCAAGGGGCTTGAAAAGCAATTTACTGCTTCTTTCCCTTTGTCGGAGCAGAGGAGCTGCTTGATCAGCCGATTCCTCCCCAAGCCTGTTATTGGGATTTGATCAAATCTGGGATTTTCATTACATGCTTTGTAATCAAGGTCAAACTAGCGCCACAGTGTCGGAGCAGAAGAACAATAACGCAAGAAGATTAGAACGTCATTAATTCTCTCTTTGTTAATCGGGTAATCCAATAATTCATATGCACACGCACACACAGAGCAAACTAAAAGTATTGCCCTTTCCTCCTTTGTCAGCAAAGATGTGAAAGGGGAGTGCTTTCAGCCCTGAAGTCTTTCTGGTACTTAGACCCTTTTAATTTTATAAAATTTATTCCAGCGTCTTTAACAGCGCGTTAAAACAGCCCAAGCACGATTTTAAATAATTAAAAGGCAGCAATACTTGTCCAAATGACGATCAAAGCACCCCATAGCGTGGGGTCTTTATCCGACCTGCCTCTACTGTCGCGACAGAGCTAAATCCCATGACTGAGAGCACACGAGTTCCCAGTTTCCTTGCAGCTCCAGCTAATTCAAGAAATGCGATCCTCTGACATTTTCTACGAGGTTTATTTAAGAAAAAGGGCTAAACGGAGTAGCCTGAAGCCATTTAATAAAAATGTTAACGAAGCACTCCGTAAGTCAATTCCTCACATAAGTGAATAGAAGATGGAGGGTTAATGGACGTTTTATTTTAACAACCAGCAGCTGTTCTAGGAAAATTACTTACCAGACCCCACCAGAGTGCATCTGCGTATGTATCAAAGTGCTCATTTTCTCCTTTCTCGGCCAAGTATACCAGGAAAGAGGCCAGGATGAGGCACAGGAAGCCAATATACCAGGCAGTAATCAGCTCCTGCAAGATCATGAAGGCATAGAAGAGAATAATTGTAATCCTGGTGCTCATCTCCAAAAGCTGAGTCGCTTGCAGTTGGATCTGAACTTTCCCTGCATTTGTTTAGGCTTTGGGGCTTTGGTTGGAGATCAGCAGTGCCACTTTTTGAGATGGGACCAGGTACTAGTGGTGGCCCTGCCACGTACACGGGGTGATCCCTCATCATCTAAACACATACAGCAAACCGAGAAGGAAAGGGATTGTTAATAACTCCGTTATTTCAAGATGTGGAACCGAGACTAAAAAAAAATATATATATATATTTCCCCAGTTCACACAGGGAAGTGGGGTTAAAACTGAAATGGGAACCTCAAATCCCTGGGGACTCTGCTTAGGGCAGGTCCCTTCCACTAACTGGGAAGGAGTTACAAAGCTGGGGACTGGATACAATATCCCCCAATTTCAGGGAAGTTTTAATTCAGAATTCACAGGACTGATTGTTTTTGGATGAAGTTAATACAAGAGCGGACAAAAAAGACCCATGAATTCCCTATGATTTTTTACACAGTTCTGGATAAGCTGGCTAAGCTTTTCAGGGGAAAAAGTGCAGGAAACAGGAGAAATGTTAAATTCATAAATTCAGCAGCAGGAAACAAAAAACAAACTCTTCCCAAACTGGAGAAAGGCCAAAGCGCCTTACACCAGGGATCAGTTCTGTCACTGGTCCGTGATTTGTTGGGAAGAGGAACCCGGCACAATAACCGTGTCTGCAAGAGGCTGCTGCTTGAAGGATGCACTTTCAGAAACGCGGCCGCTTTGAAGCGTACATCCTAGACAAAGAGCTTGCAACACCACCTGTGCTTAACGAGGCTGCTGGCTAATTGCTAACTCTTTGAAATGAGCTGTATCAGTGTGCAGGTGGTCACCATGTTCAAGATATTCCCTGCAAACAGCTAAACATCCCTCCTTTCTCTCCTCTACTGGTTGGAGGGCTCCATGGGACCTTGTGTCTCTGACTTTGCATTGCTCCCCGTGCTACTCTACGGTGTCTTTCCAATCTCCCCAGGCCTGGGAGATGTTTGGGATGGAGAACTGAACCAAAGTGGTGTCTCTGGTGGGGGGAAACATGAAGAGCAACTCAAGATCCTTGCCTGGGGCTTGCTCACCTTACTGTGTGCATAGACCACAGAGCCCAGGAGCTTCCAGGTGCCGCCCCGCCGGTCCATGCGGATCATGCGCAGGATCTGCAGGAACCTCAAACTCCTGAGCGCCGAGGTGGCAAAGACATTCCCTTGGGAACCCGCCGCCAGCACGGCGATGGACGCGATCAGCACCATGATGTCTGCACGAACAGAGGACATTGAAAGCTGAAGAAATGCTGCTGACCCACTACCAAAGGGGACGGCATTCCGACTGCCACTGGCAGCAGAAGGCTGTGCGTGAAAGGGATCTTGCGTCAATTTTATCTTGTGCTGGAAGGACACAGAATAAATCTTAACCCAGATGAAAGTAGCCACTACGCACCTTATGCAAACATCCTAGTTTCCTTCTCCACATTCATCCTTCCCATAGAAAATATGTCAAATACTGCAAAGTCTGAATTCTGATATGATTCAGTGTTAACACTGCTAAACTGGATTAAATCCTTGCAAAATGCATGCCCTTTTTCAATCAGCTGCAGCTGCCTGTTAGACAGTGCTGTCCAGAGGTGTGAATTCCCCCATCCAAATTGGGAATGAAAATCCCATAGCAATCCTAGGGTGCTCACGGACAAAGAAAGTCCAAGAAAAAAAGCCTTGCTCTATATATCTCAAATTCAAAGATCCCGTAAACCTCCCTCTTCCTTAGTTTTCTATGCAAATTTTATAGGTGTGCTTTTCTGTGGAATAAGCTAGAATCCTGCATGTGACCATTGCCAGCTCCCGGACATCTGAAAGCAGGCTCCATAGCAAATGGCACGGCCTCTCTGCCCACTCCTTACCCCATTAAAAATAACTGCTGTGCACAGATGGCCCCTTTCACAAGAGGATCGCTGAGTACTTTGCAAACAAGAATTAATTAAGTCTCATAACTCCCTTGTGAGGCAGCTCATCAGCACCAGGGAAAGCAAAGTGAGACACAGAGTTTCAACGACTTGTGAGCGATTCGGTGTTGAGGTTGGAGACGGGATCGCAGGATCCCAGGTCCTACACTCAGCTTTTCCCAGCTAAACCCCCTTTCTGTGGCTGTGAGTGGCTCAGCGATGCCTGGGGTATGCAGGGCAACGGCACGGCTCCCAGGTCTGCAGAAAACAGGGTGGGCCTCGTGCAGAATAACAAAAACCATGTCCATGGATTAGGACTTTTGCCTTTGTACTCTTTTTCTTCTCAAGGTGACCATGAAGGATGAGGATCAACCCCCAAAATGCCTGCAAGAAACCGGAGCACTGTGCAAGCAAGCGCTTGCAATAGCCATTTTGGTTTGGTAAGTCTCATGCAAGGGAGGCAGGTCTTACCGATGACGCAGAAAGGCTTGCGGGCAAATTTTAACCTTCCCCTCCAGCCCCGGTATCGGCAGCAGCAGCCAGCCGCCCAGATCCTCACAAAGTATTCAACCCCAAACACCACGATGGTGACGATTTCCTGCGAGGGAGACAACACCGTTAGTTGAGAAAGAAACCCACTCCAGAACCAAATACAAAGCCATAAGCTAAACTCCGCACACCTCAGAAACTATTGGGCAGAGCTGTCTGCACCAGGACCGTTAAATGGAGAGCCCAGGCTTGAAAGATTGTCAGGTCTTTGCTGTTGTGTTTTCCCTCGCCCTCCTGTGGGGTGGTGAGATGTACTGCACATCATAGACTGCAAACTAGAGTTTCACACCTTCTCATGTCATGTTTGTGTCCCCCATCACACGACAGATGAGTTACCTGCGTATCTCCCCACCATCAGTCTCCAGGACTTAACTAGGATAATGCTGAGCAGCTCGGGGAAGATCAGAGATGGGAACCACTGACTACTGCATCCTGGGAGTCTTGTCTAGGTCTTCACAGGGGATTTGAGCTTTTTCCCTAGAAAACTGGACTGGGTTGTCTCTGGGTGCTGGGTGAGCCGGTGCAGGGGCGGTGGAGATCCTCTATCCCTTGACGCCAAGCGAGCACGCCGATGATGTGCATCGCAGCTCTTTCCATCGCCACCTGAATACCCTGCGCACGCTCCCTTCCCTCCGATTTCTTTACTAGCGGCGCTTGCCTCAGCTTCCTCACATGTCAAACCTGACAAAGCCCTAATTAGTCTGCAGCGCCTTTTGATGTCGATGTAGGGCAGGGACTGGGGAAGAGGAGGAAAGACAAAAGGAAAGGAAATGCATGAATCCGGCAGCCCCGTGACGTGGTGGTGCGTGCAAGATCTCTGCTGGCTCTTGATGGCAGAAGCCACATTGTCAGTGTGAGGGATGCCAGGCTATTTAAGGAGCAAAACTCTGCAGTTTGATGTTGGATCAAATAGTTGCAGGGATGTTATAGTGTGGGAGAGGAGGCAGCTACGTGGGCTGCTCCCTACGCAGCGCATCCGCAGCTTTTAATATTGGGAGCTGTTGGACATGAAACTGCTTTTCAGTTGGGATCAGTCTCGCTACTGTGTTTTGCAACGAGATAAATGCAGAAAAAAGAAAAATTTGGGAAGAAGGTTTTTAAAAAAATCCTTAAAAATATTGTGTTCAGCGTGTTCTTGATACTGATTTCTCCTTTTTTACATTTTCCCTATTTCTTACCTGCAGGTCCCAGTGGTCCCCTTCTCACAAGCAACAGTTTAAATTCTCGCCCCAGTTAAACACTCCCAACCTCAGGTTTTTATTGTGTTTTTGACTTTGTTTTAATGGCTCCTGATGGTTTCATTTGCAACCCTCCAACTTACCAGGATGTAAAGGGCCCCTTCTGAGCTGTTCTGGTACTCATCAATGGTCGAAAAGACAGACAGCACCAGGCAGGAGAAAACTAATAGAAAACTATGTAACACAAAAATAAAAAATAAAAAAAGAGAGAGCAGGAACGTCAGTCTTCAGAGCAGGAGTTTTTCACATTTGCTCAAACTAGTCCAGAGAGCATTTTTGTACATATTCACTGCACTGCTGCTACCACACTGTGTAAAAAGAGAAAGTAAATTCCCTGATTCTAGTAACTGAAAAGTTGTGCACGGAAGGACCCACTGGGCTGTTTCCAGTTTGGCCAGTGACAATCCAGTTCCCCTCCCAGGGGCTCTGATAACCCCTGATATTACTTCCCCGAGGAACCATCAGCTCTTACTGCAACATGCTTTCAACGAGCGTGCAAACGAGCAGGGAAATGCTCATTTATTAACATGGTAACAAGTGACCAGACTAGCTAAGAGCAGGAGTGTGGCCTGAACACAAACCCAGAGGAAACTCCATTGATCCCCTGCTTATGCATTTTCATCCACAAAAGCTTACACAGGAGAAGGACTGCATTTCCCACCCTTGCCAGGGTAGGACATTTTGGGTTGATTTAATGCTTAATTTAAAGATTAACTCTTTACTGCCTGGAAAGCTGGCAACTTCCCAGATTTGTTGTAGTATCACTAGGAGGTGCTCTTCTGTGGCCAGACCCGGGACACAGCAGGGGTTTGATCCAGTCTAAGGGATGTGATCTTGGTGCTAGTACCTTAGTACAAAGCCAGAGACAGCCTGCCATCGGAGCGGCAGCTGGGCTGGCCTCTCTGTCCCAGCCCTGCAAAGACACCAAGGAGCCCCATCCCGCCAGGAGCCTGGGGACCCAGCTTTGATATCAGCTCACTCAGCCTCTTTTATTTGCCACAAAAATGACAGGGGAGATTCTCAAACCCCCCTTACAGTATGCGTCCAGGTCTCATTGACATCTGCTTCTATGGGTTGTCCCAAAAGCAGCCTCAGAAGTGCCACATCACCCTGTTATTCATAGGCTGCCCCCATCAAAACTGCCCGCTCTGTGCTTTTCGTGAACGCTGGATGTACTAATGCAAATCAAAAGGCACGAGATGAATGACAGGAGCTCGACTCTCTTCTGACACTCAATGCCCGAGTCCACAGCTACAGAGGTGTCCTGGCATCCTGCTCACAGACAGAGAAGGTTTCCACCAGCCAGTGATGCCCACTGCTTGCTCAAACAAAAGGAGGGAAATTAATTTACTAAAGATCAATTTACTGATACAATAAAGTAGGCCAGTGCAGGGAGAAACTAAAAGCTGCATTCTTTAAAAGCATTAAATAATTCAACTGTCTGGCTTTGTCTCACATTCCTACAAACTGCATATTGAATATTTATAAGGTACAGTTCAGCTGGTGGGTGCTGTTCCTTTTCGTTGTATAAAGAAAAGGAGTTTCACACCACTGGGTCATGCTTGTGGCTTTGCAATGACCATTAATATCACAGTAACAAGTAAAAACAAGGGGATTTGCAGTATTTATTTGAACCACAGGCTGAAACATCCCTGCCTGCTGGAGGCAAGGGACCTTTAGAGTCATCTCAGAGAAGGCTGAGCTTTGTCAGCAACAAGATGAATTCAGCACAGACCAGATAAGGACAATTGCCTGATTTCTCACTGCAAATTTTCTCTTCTCACACCAGGTCTGGTACCCAGAGACTTGAAACAACCTCAAGACAGTAAGAAAACATCCCTTGGAAACCCACTCATGATGTCCCTTAATGTCTTCTCTGGTCTCTCTTAAATTTTTTTTTCTCCCCAAGCTGGTCTTTTAAAACCCTTGCTATAAACAACCCAACTACAACCTGCCCTGCAGCCAAATGGACTCCATCCATCCCTCCATGTTGCCTGGGCCAGGCCCAGCTGGAGACGGGACCCCGCTGCTGCCTGCACTGTGGCAGGGGAAGCAGAGCCCCGCACTGCTGGAGGGAAGGAGCTGCAACTGGGTCAGGCAGCCCTGCTCCTGGTATGGCCCAGATTTGGCTGCAAACTCCTATGTTGGAGCAAGAAACAAATGAATAATCAATGAAAGAAGAAAAAGAAGAGGAAAACAAAAAAAAGATAATGGAAAAGGATCAAGGGAAAAAGAAAATCCTACTTTTTCTGATTAAAGAAGTAGAATGTGGGCTGTATCTTTATGACCAAACATCACAATAAAATGCCTGAGGAGGTGCTGAAAGCAAAGTGCCAATATCAACGCAGACTTGCACACCGTGTTGGGGAAGGTGATCACTTCAGGCAGATCCAGAATGAAGCCATGCTCAAACGAGGAGTCCTGGCAGGGACAAACACCACGAGAAAGAGGATTCCTGTATGTTAAATTTGTCACTAGACATATATTGATGGGGCAGAAAAAAGAAAGGAAAAGAAATCGCTTCATCACTTCGAATCCCAAGGGTGGATTTTGCAAGCAGCGGTCATGCAGGGAGAGACGGGGCAGCTCCGGGTGCTGCTGGGGCAGCGGGACAGCTGGGTGCTGCTTCTTCTCTTCCCCAGCACATCGCTGCAGCCTCGTCTCCTGTCTCACCGTTCCCCTCATCTCCCTGGGACCAGCTCGGTGCTGCTGTAATTTTGGCTCTGCGCTCCCCAGGGCTCTCATTGCCGGGGAGACCTGATGCAGAGCGTGCTTGCAGGGCCAGCATTAATTACAGCACTGCCGAGCATGGGAGGCAACGGGGAAGGTGCGCGCTTCTTTAATGAAGCATGGGAGCTCCATGGCCAAATCCCACGTGGACCAAAATCTCCGCGTCTCAGTCCCGATGGGGACGTTCAGCCACCGGGTAAGGAACGGTCCTGCCAGCAAGGGATGCAGGCACTGGCTCATCACAGAAAGAGCCGCACAAGCATCCCAAAATAGCTCCACGGTGATGCACAGCTGCTCTGCCTGACCCTGTGGTCCACAAACCTCTGGGAGGCTGCAAAAGGAGACTAAGAGAATGAAAGCTTTCTGCAAAGAAACTGAACTCAGGGAGCTGGGGTCTGTATGGCTCCTGGGAGGCTTTGAAGGACCTGCAGATCCCCTATGGATAGGGGGTGGAAGAAGAAAGTTGAGAGGTATGTCAGCACCAGAGATGGTGTGTATCCTCTGAGCTCCCACGGAGGGAGGGCAGTGGGGAACAGGAAGGCTGACTCTGCTTTAGTTTCACCTAATCTACCCAGACAGTGCAAGAAAGGGCTCCAGATAATAATGGATAGCTAGGGAAAGGGAAACAGGCCAATAAATAGTGTAGAGGTTGGGATTAATCTAATTTTTAAAGCTACATATCTAATCAAAGCAAATTATGTCTGCAGCCTGAGTCTGGGTAACATTAACATGCAATAAGGAACGTTAATTATGTCCCATCTAATGATTTTTACATTAAAGATGCCAATTCTGCTTAGAGCTTTGGAGAAGACAATATCCTTCTCCTGAGCAGACAGGAGCTGGGTCCTACACGATGCACGGCTGGAGCCAGCACCAGCCTCTCCCAAACCCAGGCCAGGATGCAAAGGGCAGCATGTGGTTTTGGACCATTGTCTCCTCTGCAGAGTGATGGCATGGAGGAGGCTGGCTCCAGATTCCTCGAGCCACTGGAGAAGGACACCTCATGTCACTGCCACCACCCGTTCCTACAAGCACCCAGCACCTTCTGCTGCTCCGGGATCCCCCACGCCTGTTGCTTAGACCTTTAAGCTCAGCCAAGACTCAGCTGTGCAAATCTGACTGCTGCTAATACTAATAAATCCAAAGTCCTCCAGAGTCTGGCTTTACATCCAAAGGTTACGATGACTTAAAACACCCATGGCAAGCTTCTTATTACAATTTATAAATCCCAGCACAACATCTGCATATCCAGATTTCACATCAACCGTGCTTCACGTTAGCATTGGAGAAAGAAATGACTGAACTCCCCCTTGAAAAAAAAAATACTTAAAATTACTTGAAACAGGAAAGATTGTCCTTTTTTTCCCTCAGTAAAAGCATATGACGGAATCATCATAAAGCTTTTCAGGTTAATCATCTCATTTGCCTTCCAAAAGGAATCTACACGCCCATTTACATAAGAATTTAAAAAGACATTTAAATTTATTCCTGAAATACTTGTATTCAAACAACATTCGCTGACATGCAAAAACATCGGGCTTCCTCTGATGGAGCACCAATAATTAGCAACTGGATTCCTGGACGCAATGGAGAGGGATACGAAACAAGGAGGTGGCACAAGCTTGTAACAAGCCACTGTGCTTGTTACACATTTCACTGGCTTTCCTTGGAATTGGGAAAGGGAATTAGTGATTTGTTTAACTAGAAAGAGCAAAGCTGGAAAGGAAGGAGTATTTTACTACAGGCATTTAAGAGCTGCACAATGGAAAACAACTTAAAAGATTTAACACACTTAAAAAATTACTTTGGGGATGTAAACAAGACATTAATTGTGCTAAAATAAAACCAGAATGCTTATGGGCAATCCATCTGTAATCCCAGCAATCCATTTGCTGTGGTCTCCGTGAAATGCTGGCTTTCAAGTATCTAAAACTTCAACGTAAATGAAAGGCAGTGAAAATGCAGCAATGACAATAAACCAAGGTGAAAGAATATCCATATTGAAGAGAAATAGATTGTCGAATGCCTTTTAACACTCAGAGAGCCTCATAATCAGAACGGGACTATTTACAGCCCAATTTAAATCTCCAGTGAATCAGAAGCAAAACTCTGATAATGCCATGACTTTTCCAGGGGTAAAGACGCTGCCATATTGCACCTATCCCTCAGCCAGGAGCATCCATCATCTTTATTCATGTAAGCAATCCTGCTGTGATTTGCAACCCGGCTATTCATTTACAAGGCTAAATATGAGCCTAAATGCCTCATTCCAAGCTTCCACATCCCTCAGTCTCAGCCAAAATCATCTCCCAAGGCAACTTCTGTCACTAGCAGAGCTGAAAATAGAAGCAGGGAGTCCTGCCTTTTGGTCCTGTGCCTTAATAAATGCTCTCCTTTCCAAATATAGCTCCTGATGGTGTCTCATTCCCCGCAGGTTCAGCCATGCCCAGCCCCATCCTCTCGCCCGAGCCCAGCCCAGATCTTGCTCCTCGGAGGAGCCTGGAGGCTCCCTGGGCAGCTATGCGGGTAGAAAACATTATGGGCAACACGCAGGCTGGCTCCAAGGCAGGGATGCTCATGGTTTATAAACTTTTTAATAAGTATTTAGCAAAGGCCTCTCTGGGACAACGTTAATAGCTCCTCTGCCTTCTCGGTGCACTGAGACGATGGCTGAACAGCCCTGATACGCACCACCCTGTGTGTACAAAGCCATGAAGTGTACTAAGGATGGTGGTGCAAAACGTGCAATG